CATTTTGTGGATCCGCAGGAATCAACGAGGATCAACACAACTCAGCCAACCCCACACCAGAGTCAGAGTCATTGGCGAGTTAAAGCAGCATGGCGGATCAAAGGTTCGACTACTCAAAAACAGCAGCGGAGAGCAGCTGGGAGCCAGGAGGCGCATTGCAGCTGGAGTAGAAGATTGAAGACTCAACAAAGGCGAAGAGTTGCAGTGTTCACAAAGGCTTCGACGAGGACGTCGAAGGAATAAGTGGGGGAGAATGTCACGGACAAACTTCTAAACAGGATGTTTGATGTAATGCTTATGTATGTCCGTGTCTTTTGGCATGTTCATGCCTTATACAGAATGTAAAGGGGCGGCGGCCGAAGGCTTAATAGTCCCACTTTAGTTGGGTTGGTGGCCTCTTTAGACTTGTAAATAAAGGTTGTGTCATGTGGACACGTGCGAGAGATTTTCGATCTGTAATGGACCATTTTACCCTTTGTTGTGCCACTGTTCAAAGCTTGTAAAGTCTGTTTGTAATTTGCATTGTCTATGAAGTATTTTTCGGAGATGTTTGCTTGTGGATCCCGATTGAGGCGTTCTCTTTAACCCGTTCTCTCTTTTGTTGGTCCTAAGGGACAATAGGAGGCTTCGGGGAGGCTGACCTTTGCGGACGGACACGCAAGGGTGCCGCACGACTTAGGCAAATCCAACTAAGTCCGTGACACAACGTCCGGACTTCCGACGAACTCTCGAACCCCAACGTGATCTCGATCTTGACTCCAACACAACACTTGCTTTATATCTTACTGTTATCGTAATTAATCCTGCACACTTTTTTCAACATATAGATTATATCTAACAAATTACAATTGACTTCATCATCAAAATCCGAGATTCAGTAAGTGTTTGTTCAACAACTTAGGTTTCTTGCCCCCAAGGCGACACTAAGCCACCTGGTCATCCCTGTCGAGGCATTCCGAAACCTCACTGAACAAGTGATGCAAATAGTTATTCTGCTCTTGCCTTAGCTTGCCTAATAGGCGACACCACCATCTGTCGAGAGGGTGGATTCTGTTGCAGATTAAAGGCCTTAGCATTATTATTTACATATTTCACCTACCTAGATAACTTAATTCCAATACCTAGTATGAACAACACGTAGAAGAGTATCACCTTATGGAGTACCCTATGCTCGGTCGTCATGAAGAATGTTTTAGCTGAATCACTAGGAAACAACTATTATGTCCATCAACTTTAATAGGCTCCTAAAAACTAGATTGAAATCAAAGAGTGACCTTTCTGAGCAACTTGATTGAAGCAATTTATTTCCTGTACAATAATCATGAGCCTTAGAACAAGATATTATGCAGATCTTGTACATTAATCACCACGACTGGATCGGAGCACCTCTTCTACATTAAAACCAAGCGGAGACAAGTGGCATGATTACAGATAAAAAGTATAGAAACCACTAAACCTTCTCCACACCAATCACACACAAAACAAAGGATCGACTTAACCTTCGTTGTTGATCATGATACATATGGAACAAGAAAGCTAAACACATGAGGCTGTGGAGGTTTTCTCACCGTGACTATGCTTGCTTCCAAATCTACACACGGCCCGTGATCATGGCCCTTGCCGGGCTCAGCAAGAGGTACCCGGCGTGTGCCTTGCTGAAGTTGCACCTGGGCGAGTACAGCTCCGCTGCGTCCTGCTCCACCTCCCACAACACCTTTTGGAAGAGATCAACGTCGCAGGGAAGTTCCAGCGGCCCGGCAGCCGAGTACCCGAACTCCATCTCCGCCTCATCAAGTAGCATCTTAAAGAGCGGGTGGTTCACACACTCCGTGCGCACCACGAACCGCTCCCTCGCGGGCCCGACGTACACCGAGAAGCAACCCTCGGGCGTCCGCTGCCGCTTCTGATCCCCCTTGCGGTGGCTCCCCAGAGACCGGCACCGCTCCAGCGTCTTCAGTATCAGGCCCTTTGACCTCTTGTCCTTGCCGTTCTCAGCCCTCCCCATGTATGCGGGGAGAACCTTATGAACCACAGGTGATCTGAACACCAGTGTATGTATAGACAAGAGAAACTATATTTTGGCTTGAAGGAAGAAGAGAAGAGACGCCAAGAACCCTATAGAGTGAGCAGAAGGGGAAGTAGCAAGCTCTCTTGCTCTTAGCCTCTGTCATAAACTTGATGATACATAGCCTTCGATCTGGGCACTTTTGTGTTACTCATGACTCGAAGAAGGACTAGTCATTCATGCGTACAGAGATCAGGGGAAGAACAGAAGAAGGGCTAAGAGAGAGGAAGAGACATTAGCTGGGAGGTGGAAGTGGTTGTTTAGTGACCAAGTGGGCACAAACACCGATATATAAAGAGAGGAGAGATGCAAACCGGCTTGTCGATGCAAAGTCGTATCCATCTAAACCGTCCAATCTTTTCTTCTCGTCATCCAACCGTTCGTCTGATCTGAAAAAGGACAAAAAGAGCTGCTCATCCTCGGTGTAGAGCATGTCAAGTCTTAGATCATCTGTGGACTTCTTTAGACTTAAATGTGCCACGTATCGTTCATATTTGCCCTGGATTTGTGCAGGAAATTGGTAGATATGATCGAATATATTGATTAAACGTAATGGAAATGTCTCTCCATTAATCATCCTTCCAAGCCAATAGAACGAGTGGCAAGAAACATGGCGCATGATGAGAGGATTATTGGACTAACGTGAGTGATAGGCTGCCAACTCTCAGTTTTCTTATCTATCCAAGAAAAAGAATGGTTGAAGGCCGGCGGCTTCTGTGAAGAAAGTCAACGAGTTACGATAGGAACAGACAAATAAAAACAGTCCACATAATGCAGCCAGAAAGGGATCGGCGTGCTGCAAATTTGGTCCTCTCAGCAACAAATTATCAACTATAGAGGTTTGTACTTGTTCGTGACTTGGGATTCTCATTTTAGTCAAAAGTTATGCAGATCTATCCAAGATCATCCATGGCACTTGTCATTTCGATCTTTGCATGAGCTATGCAAAGAGGTGACTCTAGAGATATCTAATAGTGATGACAAGGTTTTCTTTATATCACGTAGGGGTGTCATCAGCTTAAGATCTAATGTTGAACCTTATCTTTAATGGAACTTGAGCACATATATACAGTGGAGGACAAAAATTAAAAGTATGTTTGTGTGTAATAGCCCATTTGAGCTCCGATTATTGTCTCTGGTCAGCATGCATGCCTGCCTGCCTGTATCACGGGTTCATTTTTACATTGTGAACCCAGTGTCAAATAAGTCTTTTAAAGGTCCAACCATGTATAGAACTACAGGTATACGATGAGTTGGTAAGGGATGGAGGATATTAGAAGCTTTCATTTTTTGTTGCCAAGTCAAGTCAAACAGATACAAACTATACCCGCCCATCCGGGGCTAGAGCAGTTGCTGGTTGACCTTGACTTGCTATTAGGTTATAAAAAGCATAGAAGTTATTGTCAGGAATTGCAAGAAAGAGAGAGAGAGAGAGAGAGAGAGAGATTGGTTGAGTTTTACACAAATGCATACCTAAATGTATACGCATCTCGACAAGCAAAATTATACTCATTCCGCCAACTATAAAAAAGAAAGCATTTGATAGTATATGAAAAAGTAAAAGCTGAAAGAATAGCTCCTGAGGGATATATATAAAGTGGACTAAGGCACTTTCACATGATTGACCAACTAATTTGGCATCAAAATATTAACGTTTAGTAAAAGTTAGGGTATAGCGAAATGACAATGAAGACAAAATTAATCAATACGAACCTTTTTATTAATGATTAATTTTAGTGCAAGTTGCACAATTATGAAAAGACAATTTGCGAATAGAACAAATCAAGTAAGGCCCGTACCTAATTCTTATGACTGATTTTAGTGGGTGTCATCTACAACATCTCCTATTTGTTATTTGCTGGGAATCCAAAATAAAAACAGGGTTGTTAGGAATTAAAATACACCCTTTGTCCTAGTTATGACTATTTTGGTTCTTGGTCAAGAAGATATCTACGCATTCCCTTGTTTTATTGCAAGTGAGAAGAGAGAAAAATTGGAGATTCTTGTTAGCATCGTTTGTTGGGTAAGCAAAAAATCAAGAGATGAAAATTAAGGAGGAAAAGAGTCAATCTTGAAATTTTATTTAGAGTCAATCTAGTAATGGTTTTGCAAAAAAAAAAAAAAAAAAACAATTTACATTTCTTATGCTAATATTTCCATCTTAAACTTCCATTTTGGTTTCACCGTTTCGTGTTTTTCTGTAGTTTGTTTCCATGAGAAATGAATCAACCATTAAACTACTGTTAGATACTTTTTTTTTTGTCTAAATAATAAAAAATATTTCTAAGGATTATGTGATTCTATTTAATTTTAGTTAAGATATATTAAAATTTTAATTAAATTTTGATTAAAATTGTCGATAAATTAAAAAAAAATTACTTATGTTAAAAAATGTTATAAGATAAATTTAATGGAAAAAACTCTCTTAATTATCTCCTCTGCTCTCACTTATATATAAGCAAAATCCTCTATAGATCGTAATACTATCAAAGAGATCTCACCTCTATATAAGCAAAATCCTCTAGAGATTGATATAATATCAAAGAGATCTCGTAGAAAGGAAAAGATAAGTCTACCTTTCGATGTAAATTTGTGATGATAGTAAAATCATATTGACTATTATATTTAAAACAATTTATGATAGTTGATTTTAGTCCTAATATTAAATTATTTTATATTATTATTTTTATTTTTATAATTGATATCAGAATCATATTATTGATAGATCAGTAAAAAAAACTAAATCTATTCTTGCTGGTTCATTGTTGCACCTCTACTAATGCACAATAATTGTATGTATCATTGATACTCAGATTATACTCGGAAGGCTATATATATTAAATCTATAAGTAGACGAGGCAGATTATTCGGATCATACTTAAATTTAATCCTAATATTAAATTATTTTATATTTATATTTATATTTTTATTATTAATATCACTGGGGCTCTTCCAATTATTTTATATTTAGATTATACCGTCTATGTCGGCAACACTGTCGTGGACGGCAGTTTGCTGCCGTCGATGGTACAGCAATGGGCGGCGGCTTACTGTGGTCGCTAGCCCTGTTGTTGCTGCTGTCGGCGGTCGGTGTGGCTGCTGTGTGCAGCGGGTTTGTTGAGCGCAGCGGGAGAGACGGATTTCCACAACTCAAGTAAACTTGTCCTTTGCTTACACTTATCTATTTCAATGTTTCCTCTACTGCTTTTCTTGCCTTCACAAGCCTAACTTTGATAATGAATCGGCAGCAATGTTTTCATTCGGAGGAATCTGCTCGATGGTATACCCCTGCAGAGTAGAGTGTCAATTCAATATTCCATCTACATCATCTCTAACCAAACTAAAATGATCCCGAGTAAAATCAAGAGTTGGTGTATCCTCTTCCAGTGCCTTCTCATTAGCAATGGATAGATCCGTCGAGTGCTCCTGACTCTTTATGGTGACGTGAAGCTACACAACTCGATTAAGGATAAAGGGGAAGAACGAATGTCGTCAAAATACTGGTAATGATTTCATTGATCATATCAAAGATCAACTGAATGTGTATATGACGTTAAAACTGGGATGAAGACTGATAAACTCAAGTCGATGCAACATACTTTGGCGGCTAATTCGATGACAAAAGAAATTGGATTTTGTGCCGATAAGGGAGACACGAAACTAGCAGATCTCCGTTCCGTGTCACTAACGGGTTCGACTCATCTGACCCGTTTGATATGGATAGGGTTCGGTCTAACCCACATGACACAACTCAAACTTACCATTTGCCAGAAACCCTAATCCAATCTCGGTTCCCTTCATCCCGTCGTCGGCCCTCAGGGACGCCGCTCGCATCGCCAGACGTTGCGATGATCCGACCACGGCTTCCGCAACACGGCCTTCCAAGACGGTGCAACTGCGACTCCCCGCCGACGATGACGCTACCCGTCTCCCCCTCGCTTCACAAATCTTCTCGTTCGCTGAGGTAAATAGGGCCTATCTGTGTCTTTTTGCTGCGTTCTCTTATTTCCCGGACTTCGCCGCCGCGCTCGTCGCTCTTTCTTTTGTTGCATGGGATCTTCTCTTACGGCACTTCCCTTCTTAGCAGAAATCATTTAAGTTGGTATTTGCTGCCATCCGGGACTTGAGCGACACCTGAGATGCCATGAACATGTACTCGATTTCATATATTTTATGGAGCTGTTACTGAAGAAAAGTTAGATGGCCATTGTTTAATCACAAGCTTGACATAATCCGGCTTGACCTGACCTGTTTAACAATCGAGTTAATAGGATTTATTGGGTTAATTATAGAATCAGTGGGTTGGATCGTGGTCGAGTATTTGACACACACGTCAGGTTTGACGCGATAGTCGACACGATTCGAGCCTCGGACACCTCCACCTTTAGGTGTGCTCTTTCTAATGATAAACGTATCCTTTTTTTTCTTTTTTGATTCATTCAGTTGAATCAATTTAGCTGACCCAAGACTTGAACAATTCAAAATAAATCATACTATATATATATATATATATATATATATATATATATATATATATATATATATATATATATATATATATATATCGATAAAAATATACAGTAATTACATAAAATTTATCTTAAAAATAGTATAAAAGGAACCCATTATTCAAATAATAAAGTAAAAACTTATATTAAATATAAAGTAAAATATGATATAATACTAATATTATTTTTACTAATTTCGATCTTTAAAATGTTGTGTCTTTGTCATTTAAAGATTCAAAATAATAAAAATATCTATTTTAAATATTTAAAAATAAAAAATTATCTTTCAAGCATTTACAAATCATTTTTAAGGTTTTTAAATATGTAAAAATTTAGAAAAAAGAAAGATAAATTATATTATTTTTAAATAGACCCAAAAGTAATAACTTCATTCAAAAACAATATAACTCAGGACCCAAAAACTTTATTTTATTTCAAACTTTCGAAAGAATTTATAATAATATTTAAGTGATATTTGATCCAAATTTATTCTAGATTCACCATATATTAGTCAAAAATTAAATATTCACCATATATTTTTTTTATTTTTGATGATTGAATTAGGTAAAAATAAGTATATTAAATCCCTAAAAATATAATTGTGATCATTTAGGCGTCACTAGACATTAACACGCCTTTATGAAAATATTAGCTAAAAAACTTATAATTTCAATTTAAATTATTCAAAAATTAAAAAAATAAAAAATTTAATCATTTAAGTTCTTAATTAATCAAAAATAAGTATTTTAAAAGCCTAATAATATAAAAAGTGGTTATTTAAGGTTTTACTAGATGTTCCAAGGTTTTATGGAAACTTTGATAAAATATTTTGAAATTTCAGCTTTAGTTTATCAAAAATAAAAAAAATTAACTTTTAACAGATTAATGAAACAAAAATTAAAAAAAAAATGGTCAACTATGACTTCATTAGACAATTTCACAAGTAAAAAAATCAGTTATATGTTCTTGAATATGACAAAAAAAAATTAGTGTAACCCTATTTAAAGATGGTGTATTCACAAGTAAAAAATAATCTTTATCTCAAAACTTTAGATAAGCTAATATTTGTCAAAAACTTCAAATAATCTTATTTAATAAAATAGAAATGATTGTATGATCAAATATTTTTAATTTGGGTAATTTATCTAAAAAACCCTAATAATAGGGTTTTATCGGATGGTGCCCCCATCTTTAGGTTTTATTATGGGTGCCTTTTTTTTTATACTAGGATCAAAATACCCTTTATAAAATTAAAAAAAGACACTCGATATCTATTGACCTTGGTTGACTCTTGTTGTTTTTTAGATTAAATTGATTTGATGGACCTACCAAATTTATTGTTCAATCTAAATCAGACCAGTTTTATTCAACCATACTGATTCAATACAACTCTTAAGTATTTGATTTATTATTATTAAGGCCTAGATTGCCCTTTTTTGTTTTTTTTTTTTTTTAGATCACCATGCTACACAATTATACCAATGCAACAGTAACGTCGAAGAAAGTTGTCATTGCCAACCTTCTTGCCAATGGTGGCCGGCAATGTTGCGACCTCCATCGCCATCACCCTCAACAATAGGAAGGAGGGATAGCGCAAGCCCATCGTCATCAGTTTCTTGCCAATAAGTCATCACCAGAGAGGAGAGGAAAGGGGTCACGATCATCGTCGCCAATGCGGTAGGAGGTGAACGTTGCCTTCATGCCAACAATATGTTAGCCTTCTAGCTATTCATTGTCACCATGGCCATTGATTGAGCATTGAGCCTTGATGATTAACGAGCCAACCGAGCTATAGCCTAGCTGTTGTCATCTGCCTTCCCATTGGTCATCGTGACCGTGGTCGTGAGCCTTTGTGATGATCGATCGCCAACATCGACGTTCTCTGTCACATTGGTATTTGTGGTCGTCATCGATGACGAAGCCATCTATTGAGCCTCTGTGACCGTTGGGCAACAAAGTCGTAGCATAGTTGTTGCCAACATCCTGGGAGGTGGTCATCTCGATGTCTTTATTCCCATTGGTTACCATCACCTTTAGCAAAGCCTTATAGAGCCTCGATAATTAGCGGTTCATCGTCGTATCCTCATTTAATTTCGTGCAACCTCGTTGAATCACTATATGACTTATTGTAGTATTGGTGAAACATTTACAGTGTCGTTGAAACCTCGACATCATCCTTCGTAGTGTCACTGAAGTGTCGGTTGTATCGACCTACCGTTCAATGCATCGTGAATCATTCACTACAACAAAAAATGTATTCTATTAAATGAATACATCTTTATCATTTAGTATTATTAATTTTGAATATCATTTAAGTAGAGGCTACTTATGACAAGAATGATCCTCTTTCGAATAAAATATTAAATTTTCTAGATGAGATTGACACTTTCAATAAAACACCATCTTTGTCGATATCGGAAGCAGAAGTAATTTTTGGGAAGAAGTTATCTGATACCAAATAAATTTGAAGGATCTACCTCTGCACAACTTCAATCGTTAAACTTTGTTTTGGAAAGCGACCATGAGTTAGAAGAGCAAATTGAAGGATTCTTGACAATCTCAAACTATGTATGAAAACCTCTTGGGAGGATAGGGAAGATGACTTCAACCTTAATGCTTTAGCTTCCTATCTAAATAAAGATGAATTTGTCATCAATGACCTATGCATTAGATAGGTCATTTATACTGGATCTATACAACCTTAAATTTACAATCCCGATTTGAATAAGACATTTGTAATAGATGATAATGACAATAATTATGAGATATTTGAAGAAGAGTGGGCTGAACAGTGAATAGCAGGAGAAATAAAAAAAATGATATAGATCGTAATAAGTTTCAGTGAGCTTATCGAATTCAATTAACATATATATGAAAACTTCTTGGATGGTAGAGTCATGGAAGAAGATGACTTCAACCTTAATGCTTTAACTCCCTATCCAGATGAAGATGAATTTGTTATCAATGACATATATTAGAGAGGTAATAATTTGTGTTCATATTATAATATTAAATGTAAAAAATTATTTGTGATATTTGACACTTATGTCCTTCATGTTTTGTAGGTTTTTAAAGATATTTTAGGATTTAAAAAAGCCTTGCAAGAATATGTTATAAGGAGGAATTTTGAAATGAAAACTCAAGTGCGTAGAAGTTACAGGTTTAAAGTATGCTGTAAGGTTGAGCGTTGTGGATGGATAATTGCTCATAAAGGTGATACATGTCGAATTACAAAGTTCATCAACGAGCACCAATACAAAATATCTAAAGGAAATCGAGATCATCCATCTTGCACTAGCAAGTTTGTAGTGAAGTAATCAAGTAATAAGTTACTGCAAATGAACAATATACTCCAAAGATGATCATTATAGACATACAAAATAGATAGTGGTAGTTTCATATAGAAAAATATATCTAGCACATGAAATCGCATTAAATGAAGTTTGTGGAGACGTTTGATGGATCTTATGGTGAGTTAATACCATCCCTATGAGGGTTGAAAGTTCATGATTATGAAACGATTGTTTAATGACTTTGAATAAAGGACATTTTCATCTGGTTTCCTGGGCATTCGATGCATGTTTTCGTAGTTTTATTCAGTAAATTCATCTAATTATCGGTATAAATGCAGCATATTTATCTAAAAATTATCTTGTTGTATTGATGATACCAACTACTATTGATAGATTTAATAAGTTATTTCTTATCACATTTTGAGTTGCAAAGATTGAGGGGAGAGAGTAGTGGGAATGGTTTCTTTTTTAGTTGAGAAAATGCTTTAGTGCGCATTATGATTCAAGTATCATCAGTGATAAAAAAATCTAAGAATTCTTGCAATAGTGAAAGAAATATTTCTAGAATCACATCACAGTTACTACATTGTTCATATTTCGAAGAATTTAATAAGTGACGTACGCGATACAAAAGTGATTAGACTTTTTTGGTCTACTACGAGAGCGCATATTGAATTCAACTTTAATGAATATTTGTGAAAACTAATGGAACAATATATCAAAAGTTATCGTTGGATTTCAGAAATAGAGAAAAGTGAGCTACTACAATTTTTTTTAGGACGATGGTATCTAATGTTAAATGATTCCGAAAGTATGAATTCACTACAAAAAGATGTCCATAGACTTCCAATAACATATATGATCAAGATGACATGAAGGAAAGTTACCAAGTGGTTTTATTTGTGTTGTCTAATTGCTAATGCTATGATCAATACATTGACACTCTCTATCGAGGAAGAAATATCAAAGTCGAAAGAGAAGGTAAGATTCCAAGTTGTTCACCCTGATTCGATTAATATTTTCTAAGTTCAAACATCTATCAAGGTAGTTATTATAGACCTGGAAAAGAGGATCTATTCATGTCGACGTTTTGATATATTTGGTATTCCATACTCTCATACAATAACTACTATTGGGTTTCTGAATTCCAATCCATATGAGTATTGTGATGATTACTTTTTGGCAGAATATTGTAGAAGACTTACAATGACACTATCTTCCCAATAAGAAACAAGCAATTTTGGATTAAAAAACCTGACGATAAGATTATTTTACATTCAAATAGTATAAAACAATCAGGCAAAAGGAAGAATGCAAGGATAGAATCAAGACACAATAGCAAGTTCCCTATAAGATGTTCGAGGTGTCAATAGTTAAGTCACAATCGAT